GAAAATGCAACGAATGTAAAGTTAGTGGACGGATAGTGTAATTTTTCTGATCTGACTAGGCGCCACCTCGTGCCACATCACGCCGAAAATGGAAATTCCAATCTGACTGGGCGCCACATCAGCTATTCCGGCGAAAATGAGCACCGGAATGTCATTTTGGACTAAAATTACCAAAAAAAAGTTAGTGTACCAATTGTAAATCGGAAACAATTAAATGACGAAAGTGCAACGAGTGTATAGTTAGTGGACGAATAGTGCAATTTTTCCTAGTGTGAAATTTGGGAGATGTATTCATTTGAGATTTTGAGTGACATGTGGAGACTTTTTGAAATTTAAAACTTTCTAAAATATTCAGCTTTTGGAGGAATCCTCTGGAATCCTTGGAGGTGGGATTTTGAGTGGAATTTTATATACGATTTTTTATATAGAAATCTTAACAAATCTTAAAAAGTCATAACAAATTATAGTCTCAAATATCTCAGACTTTTATAAGACTTTTTAAAATCTCAAATAAATACCCAAGACTTTTTAAAAAAGTTTTAAAAAGTCCGAATTAAATACACCAAGATTTTTAAAATCTTAAACAGTCTTTAAAAATTCCAATTGAATACACGTCTAGTATTTACATTTGAATACAAAAATATATACATGTATAAATGAAAAAGTATGCCAATATAATTGTTAGACACCCTAACAGAAAAGCTACAGTATGCATATAATCGTGGTTACAAGATTAATGAAACCTTATTTGACAACACAACCAGATTCCTTTTTTTATGGTTTTGTATTTTTTTGTGGCCCAATTTTGGGGCAAGAAAACAACCTTTTATTGATTTTATCGGAATATCACTTGTAAGTTGTCTCACATTGTTTCTATAGAATAAATGAACATAACTTATAAGCTTAGTGAGATTCTCCTCTCCTCGTCAATAGGTTTTGGAATGGGGTGTATAAATCAAATATGGCATCAGAACAGGTGGGCTACTCTCTCCATCACAATTGTTGGTTTAGCTTATATGCCTAGTGAACTACTCCTCTCATCATCAATTGGTTTCACCAATTTGTTTTGGAATGTAACATCGCCATGATTCACCTAGTGAGTCTAATGGGTTACTCATCTCATCACTAATTGGTTTCACCAATGGAACCTCGTTATGATTCACCTAAACTCGCCCTCTTATGGTATATAAATCTAATATGGTATCAGGACATGTGATGACTCTCTGCTAACCGAGCCTGCTCTGGGACAATTAGAGAAGGACTCACAAGTGAGGCTAGGACTTGTGATGATTTTCCCATCACCAATTGGTTTAGCTTATATGCCTAGTGGGCTACTCCTCTCATCACCAATAAGATTCACAAATTGGTTTTAGAATGGAACCTCGCTATGATTCACCTAGACTCACCTTCTTATGGTGTATAAATTTAATCCAGTGACGGTGAAGCAAAGATTCAAATTCAAGATTGGCAGAGAAAGGGCACGTCCCCCTCTCCTTCTAAACAAGGAAATGAAAGAGAAAAGAGCGGAATCAACTGACTAGATTGCTTCCTTCACTAGACTCAACCTTGTCGACCCTCAATTACAGGTATCAGGACCTGTGATGACTCTCTGCTAACTGGGCTCGCTCGAGGACGATTAGAGCAGGACTAACAAGTGAGGCTAGGACTTGTGATGACTCTCTACTAACCGAGCCTGCTTTGAAACGATTAGAGAATGACTCACACATGAGTGTGCGTGTTTGAGTATCATTCGTGAGTTATCCCACATTGCTTCTACAGGGTAAATGTGTTTATATTATAATGAGTCTAGCTTATAAGTCTAGTTGGCTACTCCTACCATCACCAATCGGTTTTGAGATAGAACATTACTATAGTGCATTTAGGTTCACCTTTTTATTATGCGTTTCACTTATGTGGTATTGCACCTTCTTCCACCTATTCTATAAATCTAATACATTTATATAAAAAAATTACGTAAATCGTTTTGTTAGAACCTTTTTCATTTATATAATTTTTGCTAAAACTTTTTTTCTTTTTACTTTACATGATTAGAGGACAATTTAATTTGGATTATATATTCATTTAAATCTACTTTAGCAAATGGCATTATTCCATTTGAGATTCAAGGAATTGAGGCATTGATGATTTGTGATTCACTAGAGAATTAGTTAATTTTTTATTTATTTTTTAAGGATAGAATTGGATTTAATAATTTTCAAAGCCACGCCTCCTGAAATAAATGGATAGAGACAATAAAAGAATGGACAAAGTGGATAATTAAATACATTTTACTCCAGTTTACAATTAGGGAAAAAATCTTTTTCACCCCATAACAAAGATACATTAAGTTTTTCACACCGTCCAATAAAAAGCTAAGTTTTTCACCCTAGAAAGTGCGAAGGTTATGCGAAAACTGTCGCATATTCATCGCATAACTGTCCATATGCGAAGGTTATGCGAAAAACTGTCGCATAACTGTCGCATATCAATTGCATAACTGTCGCATATTCATCGCACAATGCATTCGCACAATTATGCAATTGATATGCGACAGTTATGCGACAGTTTTTCGCATAACTGTCGCATAACTGTCGCATATCAATTGCATAACTGTCGCATATTTATCGCACAATGCCTTTGCACAATTATGCAATTGATATGCGACAGTTATGCGACAGTTTTTTCGCATATCCTTCGCATATGGACAGTTATGCGATGAATATGCGACAGTTTTCGCATAACCTTCGCACTTTCTGGGGTGAAAAACTTAGCTTTTTATTGGGCGGTGTGAAAAACTTATCAAGACTTCAAAACGGGGTGAAAATAGATATTTTCACTTTCTTTTATTACCATTAATAATTACTTAACTCAGTCCCGCTCACCTGCCCACGGTGGGCAGTGCCCATTAGTTTATTTTATATAAAAAACGTATTCTGAGAATACGTTTTTTAATTAAATTTAATTGAAAAACGTATTCTCAAAATACGTTTTTCATATAAAACAAACTAGTGGGCACTGCCCACCGTGAGCAGGAGAATATATTATAGTGTACCATTTGCGAGCACGCTCATTTTGTTTAGTTTTCGTTGTTACCCAATTCAAATAATTAGCATAATTTAAGTCATATTGCACACTATTTCTACATAAAAATAGCAAATAAAAAAGAAAAATCAAAATTTTCACTTTCGGTAAAATATCTCACTCAATTCAACTATCTCTAATATACATAACTCCCGAATGCGCTGAACCTACGTGGCTGTATTTGGTGCTTCGGAATCCTACTTGCCGAAAAATCATGGTTCCTAATTAGGTTTGGACAAATAATATCGATATATTTAATAATTAATAATCTAGGTTCTGACATTCCATAAATATTATTTAGCTAACTTAGGTATTTTAATATCATTTGTACTAATATAACCTTTTAATTCTTACAACCTAAGAGCATCAGTAATGCTTTGAGTCCATTCAAAGAAATATACTGGCCACGTAGGAAATATACTCAGTTCAAAAAATTATATGATGCAATGTAACTACAAGTGGGCTGGGTCTTGCTGACGTGGCAGCAGAAAAAAGAGACCCAGTCTACCATTAAGTCTAATTTAGACCCAAGTAGAGACCTAGTCTCTTTGCATTGGAGTCAATTTTGTTACTTCTATATATTTTTATCCATGTCACCCAAGACTTAAGTTCATTTACTTGCCATATAATCAAAATTAGACTTAAAGCATTGCAGATGCTCTAAGGATTCATGGGCTAAAACAGTAAAAGAAAAAAAGGAAGAATCTATGTAAGAAAGAAAGGATCACTCGCTCAAAGACTCTTACTAAGATCATGACGTGGTAAGTTATGGAAGTAGAATCCAGTTGGATCTCTTCCTTAACAAAAACTCTATTCGCCACCAAGGTATTAAGTCTTATATAAATACGACATGTTCTCTCTTATTGCAAAACATACAATTTATGCCTTATTTCATATATTTTTTTAGTATGCGATTGAGCGAGTTGTGAAATAAAATAATTCTACTCTACAATATTATAACTAAAAATAAATAAAAATACAATAAAATAAAAGGCCAGAGATTTTCAGTAAAGATTATCCTCAAATTGGTCACTTTTAAAAATTATGGGGTTGCTATTGATTAATTGAATTTCAAATGAATTGTTTTTTATACAATCCCAAATTATAAAATTACTTTTATAATATAAAATAAAATACTTTAATAAAGCTGTACTGGGAAAATTATTGTTCGAAATCAAATTTCCCGTTAGAATTTAATAGAAAATTATATTCCAATTATAATATAATTGGTAAAAGCAAATAGTATTGCAGGATACTTTAATCCTCTATAATATCCCATTTGAAGAAGGAAGTTCACAAACCACAATTAATTCTTTTATATCAATCCAAAAATATTCGTATACTAAAAAGGGTCGCTATAAATGGGAAAATGCTAAAGTTCTATTACGGAATGGTTCAGTCAGTATTTTTCATCATTAGATAGTTGATACATATGTAGATTATGTTGTGTAGATAATTTACGGCAACAAACACTGACGAAACCATTCCGTCAATGAGAGTGTAGTCGTTCTCGTTATAAATGTGAACTCATCTTAACCCAATCAATAAAACCAACCTTCCTCTAAAAATTTGTTCATCAAGTTGTTCATTTCTAATTCTTGTCAAATTAACTTTTTAAATTTTCTTCCCTATAATCTAATTAATTAACTGAAGGGATGCAATTAAAAAATAAATAAAAAAAATATTTGTGCATAAGAATGTACTTAGCTGAAGAGATATAATTCTAAAAAATATATATTCAAACTCCAGTTACTTAAAAAAAAAAAAAAGTAATTAGAATTGAATCCTCTTATCTTAATTTGATATTAATCTTTAAGTACAACTACCATTAACTTGCTTCAAAAATCTAACTTCTATGGTTTTCAGACTTCTCTTCTTGCATGTTTCTTACCCTCACCAATCGGCCGAAATCCTCACGTCTAACCATCACAAACCGGCCGTTCTGTAGGCGATGCATTCGAAAACCTTCTGACGTGAATCCTGTATTTCTGATTAAAAAACACAACCATAATGTTTCTTATATGATAATAATAGGGAAAAAAATGATATACAATTTTTTTGTAGTATATTTTTTTTTTGGTAAAAACCTGCAAATGGCTTTTCACTTCATCATTTGTAAGGCCTTCCACTTTCATATGCTCACGAATTTGCTTCGGTGTAGCCACTGAAACATTTCAGAACATTTTCATTTTTTTTTTCCTTCAAAAACAAAAATAAAGTGATTCGAATTAATGGATAAAATAACGAATCGTACCCTCGGCCCCACCGAGATTTTGCAGCGCATCCACAAATAGCCTGTGCAGCTCGGGTGACCAGCAGCGCCTCTGTTTCCTCTGCAGTTGCTGCTTGTGCTGCTCGTGCAGTCGGGTCCCAGACGAGCCGCGATCTTCTTCAATCGGCACCACTTGTTGATCCTTGGCATCCGACTTCTTAAATGGCGAAAATGCCCCTGACCCTCCCCTGCTGTTGATCGTAAACCCGTTGTTCTCGCAGTGGATGGGCGGTGGTGGGGTCCACAGCTGGACGGAGCTCATCCACGTCCTCTTCTCGATGAAGTCGATTGACGTTTTTGCCCTTTCGTCTCCCTCTGAATTATTATTGCTCTTCGACGGCGTGGATTCTTCCTCCATCAACTTTTCCCCCTTCAGTCTCTCGATTCCTTTAAAGAATAAAATGAATAATAATGTTTTCGGACGATTTTAAATTTTTAGGGAAGATATTATATTATGTGTAGAAAAGAAAAAGAGAGAGAGAGAGAGAGAGAGAGAGAGAGAGAGAGAGAGAGAGAGAGAGAGAGAGAGAGAGAGAGAGAGAGAGACCATCTTTCAAAAGCTGCATGCACAAAGGAAGCTCGCGTTTGAAAGCATCGACTTTTCTCATCTCGTCTTCTAACGAGCGCACGAGAAATTCCAGCTCAGACGATCGGTCGGGAAAACAATACGAAACGAGTGGAGCTTTCTTGAGAATGTCGGAAATTGTTTTGGGAAGAAAATCGAAATTCTTCGAGTTCTCTTGCATGTTTTTTTTTTTTTTTTTCTAGCCAAGAAATATTATTGTTTTTTTCTTTTTTGGTAGTAATAATATATATTTATGTATTTAATTTTTGTCTGTGTGTAGTTAAATTAGTGTATAGGCATGCATGGATGAGTTGAGGCTGTCTGGTTTATATAGACATGTAAGTGCAGATGTAATTAAAAGCAAATGAAGGGGCAAAAAGTGGAATGTGTATAAAATGTGTACAAAAAGAGTTGGTGTAAGTGATTCTTCTCACATGAAAAAAAGGATTCCATGTGAGTTTTATTCATGATAAGTGATAAACATGTCTTTTCCACTTGATTTAGATTAATTTGACAAGAGTCAACTTTTAACACAATTTTTTTCGTAAGAAAGATTAATCGTTAGGCGGGTCGATCTGTCATCCTTTATTATTATTATTATTATTATTATTATTATTATTATTATTATTATTATTATTATTATTATTATTATTATTATTATTTGCATTTTAATATTTGGTCACTTGGAATTATGAAGCCTTAATTGTGAATCTCTAAAGGCATATAATAAGGTTAATTAATTAGTACATAAGAAAAGATTCTTTTTTGCAACTTTATTTTATTACCTTTTTTATTTTTTTACATGGTTCTGTTAGAACTTACAAGGGAATAGTTTCTCCCACAATACTTTAGTAAATTATCTTTAACTCATAAAAATGTACTGTTTACAATTCTAGAAATTTTGATTAACTTTTGTGGTACTCTCTGCATAGAAAAGTATTTTTCATGCAAAAGTGAAAGAATATGTTATGACAAAGTTGCTAATATCAACTGCATCATGAGAATTCCATGAAAGCAGCTAATGACATAGTTTATTAATTTAATCCTTATCCTTGTTGACACGAATTCTTGTATCAGACAGCTTAATTGTTAGACGGGTTGCCGTATTATTATTTTTTTAACAAAAATACATATATATTATATTATTTTTTAGAATATATGACATTTCAATTTGAAAATATGCATATATGTCGATATCGTTCATATTTTGAAAAAAAAAATTGCATTTTCACAAGATGCAAAGATTTTATTTAGCAAATTTGCCCCTAATATCACGACCTTTATCGAAGTTGCAATTTAATCATGACATTTTCACCATTGCAAATTATATCACAATCTTTAGTTTGTTGCTAACAGTCTGAAAACAGTCATAGAAAAACTGATGTGGTTGAACAACAAACTAAAGGTTGTGATGTAGAGTTTGCACGAGATATGCAAATCGGCACCAATTTGCAACGAACTAAAGATTGTAATATGATTTGCAAAAGTAAAAAAAAAAAAATCGTGATTAAATTGCAATTTCGAAAAAGATCATGATATTAAGAGCAATTTTGTCATTTTATTTTAGTTCTATTTAGTCTTTAGAATTAGAAAAATATTCTTCTTTTTTTTTTCCAGGCAAGAGAATATAAAAACAGGTCAGAATTTTCAGTTTAGTGAATAATTTTTGGCACTTTAATTCCAATAAATTAAATTCTCACAATAACAAAAAGCTAATTAAAATCGAATTGATGGATGGCACTTTTGATTCTTTCCCAATATTCATAAATTTCAAGATATTCTCTTATTATTCGTTATGGCCACGATAAAAGCATCCAAAATATTCTTTCGTGTCTAAGGGAAAAGTTGCAAAAACTGCTTATTTTTTTGGTACATTTATGTGTTGCCATAAATGTATGCATATCCTGATTTTATTGTGGCAAATAGTACATGATTCTGCCTTGGCATAATTGGATGGTTGTTAGTGATTCTTCCTTTTTCTTCACACACCAATGGAGATGGAGTTATAAATGCCCTTTTATCTTATGTGCTCAAGCAAATAAGTATATAAATTTCCTTTTCTTTTTTATTCGAAATCAGGCTTGCACATAGGAACTCACCATTCGATTTGGATTCGTGAAAATATTCGAGTATGCGTTTTGTATTCGATTTACTATAGTAATACAATTTGTGCTTCGACTTGGATTCGTGAAAATATTTTAGTATACATTTTCTATTCGATTTACTGTAGAATATAATTTGTGCTTCGTATTCAATTCATCTTATTAGGTTAATGGATATATACGATTCAATTTGAAATTTATTTTCATAAATTATATATGAACACGTAAATTTATATATTTATCTATTTAATATATTTACATATTATATGAATAAAATTATATAAATATAATATACTAGCTTTTTATTTAATTATTATTGACGATTTGAATATTCAATAATTTTGATTACAAACTCAGATTTTTATTTGTATAAATTTTGAATACCGGATACCGTTCTTATTCGAATTGAAATTTTACAATTTTTCAATTTTGAATCACGGGTAGAATAAAAACAATTTCATTTTATTATAAGTAGGGGTGAGCATGGAATTAACGATTCGATCTGGAAATTTAGTTCAGAACGAAACTAAAAATAACCAAAATTTGGGACCATTCAGTTTGGAGATCGTTGTATTATAATAGATTTTGGGCTATCCAGATGACAGTTTTGCTATAAACCCAACAGTTGGCTCAATAGTGGAGACAACACTCTATATACAACAAGTAAATTATACTATATTAATAATATTAGTATTATTTAAGTAATCAGAGAATATGTGTGGTTTATTTATTGTGTATAGAAGGTTGTTTTTACTATAGAGTCAACTGTTGACTTCATAGCAAAACTGTCCAGATGGATTTGACTAGGGCGGATCGGATATTCGAATACTTTTAATTATTAAATTGTGATAAGAAAATAAAACTATTAATTTGAGTAGTATTTGTCAAACTAACATCTTTTTCAAACTAGCTAACATCTAGTTACAATAAAACATAGATTTACTTGTTTAACTTAAAACTTTTATTTATTTTTAATCTTATTAAATTTTTATTTGGAAATCACTAAAAAAAATGAGGGAAAAAAAATAAATGATTCGCATATTTTAGTTAAGATTGTACTTATTTATGAAACTAAATAGTAAAAGTTTTAAAGCATGATAAAAAAATATATGATTGTGAAAAGAATATTTTTCTACTTTTCATATCATTTTAATTATAAGATAGAAAAAAATTAGAAGAATAACAAAATACGTGATATAATTGAACTTCTAGAATCATTAAATTTATGTAATGTTTATTGGTATTACTATATCCTATTAAATATTATAAAATATTAAGGTTTTCTAGAACTAAAATTGATATAAAAGCAAATGACAATGCTCATTTAAAATTATAATTTGTTTACTAAATTTGATTTTTACAATATGCATGATTCAGTCCTCGGTACGAATATATCAATTATTTTTTCAATTCGAAAAAAAAAAAGTGAAATGGTTAACGTTTATTTTTCTGATTGGTTGTAGTTCAATTTTTTGAATAAATTGGTAGTATCCAAATTTCGTGCTTATTCCTAATTACAAGCCAAGTAGTAGGAGGGAAAAAAGATATATGTTTCAATTCTTGATTTATTCCGATAGATGATTGACACGTATATAATTATGACATCATCATGAACACGTGTCATTCATCCAATGGAGCGAAACATGAACTAGAAAGTGACTTTCTCATCCTTGGAGCAACCATTCCATGTAGACAAGAAGATGACAAATTAATAATTATGATAATAAATACATAAATACAACCAAGGGCGGAGCCACCCTAGGGCTAGGGTGGGCTCCAGCCCCATGTCCCAATAACAATTATTATTATTATTATTATTATTATTTTTTTTTTTTTTTTTTTGCTAACCTTAATTTTTTTTTAAAAAAAATTATATAATTAGCCCCATTAGCCATATGTAATTTTTTATGTAGCTCAATTTAATTTTGGGCAGAATGCCTCAAGATTCAGGTCGATTTTTTTTTTTTTTTTTATCTAATAACAATGGTAGAAAAGTGATAATCATAGTGAGAGAAAAAAAGATAATGTATTGTCAAATGTGATGTTATTAGATTTTTATCAATTGAGTTTATAATGTGGTCCAACAAACTCTTGCCTTTAAATTTTTAATGGGTTGACTTGACAAATCTCAAATGAGCTGGATAATAATAAGATTGACACATACTTCTCCAGCGAGCTATTTAATTGCGTTCGTCTCATTTCACAGTCCGTTATCCAGTTCATTCATTTATTTATTTATTTTGTTGATTTCGCCTCCAACATCCAATAATTAATTCGCATCATTTCTTAGACAACCAAAAAAAAAAGGTACAAAGTTGACTGCAAACATGTTTGACTCTATTTGTATGATCGACAAGTTCAATTAGCTATTTGAGTTTGGCTTGTTTAAATATATAAACGATTCGAGATTGAATTTACCCAATTCAAACCGACATATGTTAACAGATAATTTGGGTCTAATCATGACCAAAACCGGTTACGGGTCGAAACCGTCGATACTGAGCCGAGAGTTGTAGGACCATGAATCGGTGCGAACATATGTACATGCCGGTTCATTGAACTGTCGTTATTGGTCGTCCGGTTCATTAGGAAAATAAAAATAATAATAATAAATAATATTTTTTTTCTAAAAAAAAATCGAACCTCGGGTTCCGATTCCAGTTTGGAACCGAAACTGCATGTTCAAAATGTATAAACTATAAAATATTATACATTAACCGAACTGGTCAAAACAACGGGCCGGTTCAAGACCCATGGTCAACGGCCGTTTAATGTCTGTTCGAGCCGAACCGACAGGCTGGGTCGGCCCATGACCATGTCTACTAAGTTCCAATAATAGATACAATAATATGCAACCCCGGGTTAAAAAAATTTCTTGCTACACCTTGAATACAACCCTAGTATAACAAAACCAGTGCGGAAAATTGGTGAGAAAAGTCTGCACATATGCAAATATGTATGTATGTCGATTTAAGTGGCAAGAATCTCCTTTAATAAAAAAGCAATAAAAGTTCATTTATTCCTAATCCTGCTAAAATGTCGCTATCTTTTATCCATACCTCACATTCATACTTCAAAGAAGCAGAAATAAAGTACTACGCCTCCTCGATTCTTACGTAGAAAATTAGTCTTCCCTATCTGTAAAGAGGATACAAGTTAACAACACAATTTTGAAGCCAAAGAAAAAAAAAAGTGATGGACAAAATCTTGAAAAAAAAAAAAATCATGCAAGAGAATATTTTATTTGAGCCACCAAAAATGGCTCAGAATTCTCATCAGATCTCTTCAATGAATTCTTAAACTTAAGAACCGTCCCCTATGCTGATTCATGGTCCACTAGACATCATAATAATGGAAAATGTTACGGTCCCGTTACGGAACCATTCCGTCGGGTTTTGTAACCGATAGATCAACATGTAACCGTCGGGGATAGATGATCTAACGGTTACAACGGGACCGTAGCATTTCCCACAGTGACATATTGCTTTGAATCAGTTCAGTCTTTCTCTTTTATGAGAAAACTAAATGTTTTACACGCTGCTGCTTCATATCAAAAATCAAACAGTCAAAAGGGAACACAACTTGCATGGAACCTTATTCATAGTCGAAATATTCCAGTGGCATTCATATCCAGACAGTGTTAATATGCTCCAATCAAGTTTCATATTTCGCACGAATCATCTTTTGAATTGCTGACGTAATACTTTGTCACGCTCAATCTAAGAACAAAAAAAATTCTGCTTTGCCAGATGACAAGTCATGCACAGAGAGAGAGAGAGAGAGAGAGAGAGAGAGAGAGAGAGAGAGAGAGAGAGAGAGATTTACACTTACCCCCGAGCAAAGGAACTTCACCGCAACAACAGAAAGCTTAGGAGGAGCCAGCAAGCCTGAATTTCCCCTTGGTCGCTTTCCTTTTCTCTTTGGCGCATATCTTGATCCGACACTTCAAACACAATTATAATACACACATTTAAACATCGTTTTGAAAAACCGGACCCAAACGAATAACAACTTAATTAGGTTCAGTGGGAAGAGCTAATAAGCGACATATGGATGCTAATATACACTTGAAAAAACCGTTATCAAATGATGAGGACACTTTATTTTGAAGGTTTCAATAAGAATTCAGAACATGGCCTAGAAACCAAAATAAGAACAAACTAAAAGATCAATAATAGCAAATTTGTTGCAGCAACCAAAGTTGCAACTGATGAGCTCCGATATTTCGTGCGAATTAAGCAAGATGGTGTAAGTTCATAAAGCATCAGAGGCCAGTTTCAGAAGAACACATTAATAATAATTTCATTGCGTCTATAGGCTGAACACAAGGCCACAGAACAGTAAAAGGTTATAAACGAGTTGTTGACCAGTTCATTCAGTCAGAACCTATTAAAACCGTTTATAACCGGCCAAACACTGACCGGTTGGACCAGATGTTTTTTTTTTCTTTTTTTTTTTAAAAAAAAATATCTAAATATTTAATTAATGATGATTTTGATATACAATTTATTGTCTATATTACTATGTATATTTAAAAGCAATATTTAATTAAAAATTGGTCCAACAATTGGTCTAACATTAACCAGTGAACCATTGAACAGAAGCTCAAATGGTTCGTTAACCGGTCCGGTTATGAGAAACCTGCATTTAACAGAAGACAAGAGAGAAAATAGAACATACTCACGGAGAGTACGAAAACATAGGAAAAAAAAGTGCAGGATCCATAAAATGGACTCTGTTATGTTCTTATGTAAGCATTCTCACACATAATATTGAGCTAAATCCAAACAATTACGATGAAAATCTCAGTTTGTTAAGAAGGACAAAAGGTAAACTCAAGCAAGAACTATTGGGTTTGATACTGAATTTCCTCAGACTTCAGTGAAATCTTATGATACCACAAGACTCTTGCTATGTAATCCTCCATGACTCTTGCTAAACCTCAGGATACTAGATATGTACTCTACGATATTTACCTAAGTGGCCTTTTTAGGCGCTCATTGTAATTACTATTATACCAAGTAAAATCCATACTAAAATCAATGCCTTTAACTTTAAAAAAAAAATGAAAAAAAAAAACTAATGCTATTCAAAAATATTATTTTCATGTATGACACTAGCGTTATTTAAAATCAAACGATACAATTTTAAACTTAATTTAATACTCGCATATAGTACTAATTTTATTAATATATAAAAATAATACACCTTGAGAACAAGTGCATGCCTTTTTGTAAGCATATTTGACAATCAGAACTAATAATAAATGGATAAATTCTCATATTTTATACTAGTTTTATTAATAAGTAAAAATAGTACACCTTGAGAACAAGTGCATGCCTTTTTTTAAGCATAGTTGACAATCAGAACTAATAATAAATGGATAAATTCTCATATTTTACGGGTCAACCAAAAAAATAAAAATATTGATATTATTGTTGTATACAAAACTCAACTACAGAGCATGCAATCGTTTCTCCATTGCAATAAACAAAAACCCATCCAAATGCCAATGAACACACAAGACACAGCTAATAAGTAACTTTCTTACATAATTTTCCGGCGAACAAAACTCCTCCGATGGCCTACCACGCCGTGTTGTCCCTTGTCGACACCCTCGAACATGTCCGGACTTTTCGCGACCCCTTTTTCCTCCGCAAGAAGCTCTATTCCTTGCTTTTCGCCCTCGGTCGGAACCACCGCATCCCGGCATCCCTGATCGATTCCGTGCACGGCCTCGAATCCCATATCGAGTATGAAATGCACAGAGCTGAAGACAAAATCGACTCCTTCATCCAACGACCCCAGTCCGAATCACTGGAAAGCCTTATGCAGGACATAATCTCGACCGTCGATCACATCCTGGAAAACGTACAGCGGATGTTGGCTTCCGGGTCGTTGAATAAGGATGAGAGCTGGATACATGTCATCAGCGAGGTGTTTGGAGTAGGAAGTGCGTGTGCTCTGCCCCTGCTGGAGGAGATCGACAGAGATATCCTCAAGAAGATGGGGGTTTCCTCCCAGGATAAGGAGATGTATATTTCCCCCCATCTCCTCCTCGATGAGATCGTGAGAGAGATCTTCAAGGAGATGGAGATGGAGATTTCTCCCCATCTCCTCATCACCACCAAGGAGAAGGAGAAGGAGAAGAAGATCCATCTCCTCCTCCAGGAGATCGGAATTTCCCCCCATCTCCTCCTTAAGGAGAATGAGAAGGAGTTTACCCCCATCCCCTTGAACAGTTTCTGCACGCGGCGCAGAACATGCGCGAGGCCGGGCGGAAGGCAGTGGCAGAGAGCAGCAAACCGACGTGCATCAAGGATGAGTCAAAATGGAGGGCGCTTTCTCTCGAGCCTAGTGCTTCTTCGGTCGTAGTCGTACCCGACCCTGTAGTACCTATGAAAATCGTTGGGCACGAGCGAAATCTGAATCTCCTCAAGCGGATGCTGCTGAACGAGAACCCTCCGTTCACTGTGATGGTCCCTATCATCGGGATGGCCGGCATAGGTAAGACCGAGCTGGCTAAAGCCGTGTACGACGATCCCGATGTGTGGTGGCACTTCGAGGCCCGGTTTTGGGTGGAAGTGCACCTCGACTATCGGGGAGCGTACAACTCCCTGACTCTCGTCGTCCGCGCCGAAGACGCGGGCCCCACGAGGGTCGTCGTCGACCACACGAGCCGCTGGGTGAAGGTGGGGGGAGAGCCGTTTGCCTTCATGCACGAGGGCCTGTCGAGGGAAGCGAGGTTTCTCATGGTGGTGGACGACTTGGGCGACCCGTTGGTCTGGAGGAAGCTGGAGATGTCGCTGCCTAGCAGCTGGAATGGGAGCCGCGTGCTCGTGACCACGAGGAAAGTGCCACTCGCAAACCACACGCACGCTGTGACCCGCGTGCTGAGGGACCCGTTTCTGGACGAGGACGAGAGCTGGAGGCTGCTCCGCAGCGTGGTGTTTGAAGGCGGGCCGTGCCCTTCACGTGAGCTGGAGACGATCGGGAGAAATATCGCCAAGAAGTGCCAGGGGCTGCCCCCTGCCATCGTCGAGGTGGGGCGTGCCCTACGGGTCGCCGAGCGGTCGGTTGAGAGATGGAAGGCAGTGCTAGAGAGCGAACATTTGGTCGGCATCGAAAACACGCCCTTGTGGTGGACGCTGTCCCTGAGCTACAGAAGCCTGCCGTTGTATCTGAAAGCCTGCTTTCTGTAATGGGGCTGCTCCCAAGGAACACAGAGATCTGTCGATCTAAGCTCATCACAATGTGGATGGCCGAGGGATTCATCGCGCCGTGGCCAAAGGGGTACAATTCCATGGAGACACTTGCTGAGATTTTTCTGGACGAGTTAGCCTCGTCGAGCATGATTTTGGTTCGGAACTGGAGCTCAAGCGGCGGGACCAAGACGTGCAGTGTCCATGCCGTGTACCAGAGTGTGTGCGTGAACGAGGCTCAGGGCACCAAGTTCTTCCACGTTGTGAACAAGCTGCACGCGGATGCTTGGTCCGGTGCAAATGGCCAGCGGCGAATCTGCTTCCACAACAACATCGTGCTCGGCCTCAAAGAGGTTCACGGGTATCTGAAAACAATTTTTCCTAGCGTGCGCTCCCTGCTCTGTTTCGGGCCATACCATCAGTACTCATTGCCCCTCTACTCCCCCTCGAAGCTGCTCAGAGTATTAGACGCGGTTAATCTGCGTTTCTACGAGTTCCCGGAACAAGTTCTCGAGCTGCTTCGGCTAAGGTACCTCTCCATCACGTTTAACGGCGACCTTCCACCCTCCATCTCAAAACTCAGTAACCTCGAGGTTCTGATTATCCGCCACCATCACATCATCAAATCCTCATACGCTCCCACTGTTTATCTTCCTCTACAGATTTGGGGCTTGAGTAAGTTGAGACACCTCCATTGCGCGGGATCCGACCTCCCGGACCCTTCGGATGGACTCTCTAGCTCATTCGTGCTCGATAACCTTTTGACGCTTTCTGGCGTGAGCACCCTCAGCTGTACCGAGAAAATTCTCAAAAGACTCCCCTACCTGAAGAAATTAGGGGTCCGGGTCGACCCTAGTCGTTGGGATGCAGTCGACGTCTTTTCTTTCCTCGGTGAATTGTGCTCCGTTTACAGCGTATTCGACTCGTTGAAATGTAGCGTCGTGGACTGTAGTCTCGTCGGCTCCCGTGTGTTCCCTTGCGTCAAGGACCCTTCCCCCTTGTTCATCAAGAAATTATCCCTCAGCGGGTGTGGATTCTCGTGGGAACACATCACTCACGTGGCCGCGTTGCCTAGTCTCCAAGTGCTTAAACTGCGGTGGAATGCCTTCCGGGGGCCCGTTTGGGAAAGACTAGACAGTGACGCGAGATTCGAGAAGCTGAAATTTGTGCTGCTGGAGGACTTGGATGTGGAGGAGTGGAGAGTTAACCAAGGGAGCTTCCCGAAGCTGGAACATGTGGTCATCAGGCATTGCTACAAGCTGCGTGAGGTTGAAAACGAGTTATCTGAGATTCCTCAGCTCGGTGTGCTGGAGGTGCAGGATTGCAGCCCTGATATTGAGGCCTGGGCTGCAAGAGTTAGAGACGAGAGGTTACATAGACTTGGTGTGGATCGGCTTCAACTCGTCATCCATTTGTCGAGGAATGAAAGTGACAAAAGCAAGTAATGAGGATCAAGAGACTGAATTAAAACCATGAGCAACAAGCTTCAATACCAACTTCAAGAGACTTAACAAAACCAGCTTCAATACCAAAAAAAAAAAAAAAAAAAGTTCAATAATCCAATAAACCCACCATAAATGGATTTATTAAAGAGCAAATCTGCAGACACACAAGAGAGAAAAAAAAAAAAAAAATGCTATCTTGGCAATTAATCACCAAAACTAACCTTGTCCCCTCGCTCAATATACTTGACCCAATTCCGCAACAAGCTCTTTCGTTTGCTCATCTCTCATCAATCGGGCCACGCCGAAGTGACCCGACCCGATGTCTCGAACGAAGTCGTATCGATCGCTGCCGGGCATGATCTGCATCGCCATACCCGGAACCGCTGTCACTGCCGCCCGATTCATATCGGCCGATATAATCACAGTAGCTCAACTTCGATTGAAAAAAAAATAAAAATACTTTAACTTTAAGCTCAGCTCATTCACATTACTCAGCTGGCTAACGAACACCGTGGTGGCCCCCCATCGGTTGTTCGACGGTTGACCCGATGGGTGGGTGGAATGGCGGTTGCTTGGGTACTTCTGATTATTTCAATTTTAATGGGGAGAGAGAGATATTTTTATGGGAAAAATTTATGAGTAATGCTACGTAAATAAATAATATTATACATAGGCGTATAGATAACATTCACAATCAGTAGGATCCACTAAAATAAAAAGAGCAATGCTTAGGTACATAATATTGCACGTGGAGGTTTACATAACACTTACATTGAATGAGACCCACCAAAATAAAAAAAATCAAGTGGATCCACGCCATCTGAGTATTATGTACATCTCTATGTACATTTATTATGTACTTGTAACATTTTCTAAATAAAAAATCAAGTGGACCCCACTCTATATGAGTGTTATATACACTTCTATGTACATTTATTATGTACTTATAGCATTTTCTAAATTTTATTAGAAGACTCAACTTTTTTAAAATGTATTAATTTAAGCCTTGAATTTACCCAAGAGCGCTTGGATGAGATGGCTTGGGTCTTTTCCAGCTTAACCAGTGGTCTCGTGTTCGAGCCCTGGGAATGCAGCAGTGTTAAAACTCTTGAGGGAGAGCTTTGTCACCCTTGTGATCCTACCCGGCTCGATTCCGGATTAGTCGGTTTCCCTGTGGATCCGAAAACCGGAAGGTCCCTGTACAAAAAAAAAAATTTAAGCCTTGAATTTTATTCTTTTTCAACTTCAACATAAGGCCTATATTTTATGTTACTCTCAATTTAAGGTTCATTTTTTAGTTAACTTTCCAGGCTCAATTATTATTAGATTTTCATATAAATATGTGAACCAATTAATTTTATTTTATAATATAGTTATGGTGAACAAAAATAATTTTTATTTAGTTTATATTTTACATACTTATTATAAACATCTTTAGTAATATTTACTTAATAATAAATCGAAACTATATAAATTATATTTACGCAAAAGTTTAATCATGAATAATTTACAAAAAAAAAAAAAAAATGATAAGTGAATTTAAAAATATGTAATGGAAATATTATTTTTATTAAAAATATAAATATGTAATAAAACTAAAAAATAATATATAAAATACAATCTATAAAAATATATCATTTTTAACAAGCAATGACATAGTATCAAGTTTTGCTCCCAAAAAGAAAAGTTAAATTCCTGAAAAGCTAAAATGAAAGCAATATTATTCAAATATTATTTTTTAGTTCTAGGAAGATTAAAGTTTGCTAGAGTTTGGATATGACTGAGGAGGATAATTCAAGGGCTTGTACGTTTTTGTTGGTGAAATATTGTTCTTCACTCCATTGGGCGAAGTTTTTTTCTGTTTAGTTTAAGAACCGAATAACCGGAATAATCGGACCTTATACCAGCTAATCGATTTCTATCCTTTTTTTTAAAAAAAAAAAAAAGAGTGAGACTAACCGAATCGAAAAATTTTAGAAAAACTGGTTCCGGTTACTCAATATTTAGACAAAAACTGAACTGGTCCCACCCCTACTACACACATTTTCACTCACCACTAGATCTGATATTATTCAATTCAACTTTACGCAATTCAAGTTCTTTTTTTTTTCCATATCAATATTCACAATGTCTATTCATTGCATTTACCAAGACAGACAGGCCGATTCCGGGCCTAATATTTGAGGCCCGATGACCCGGCAAGCACGACCCGGCACGACTGATGGTCATGTCTAGAGTACGAAGTAATTCTGTCACTTACATACAACAAATAAAACAAAAAGGTGTAAGAAACTGGGGGAAATGGAAAGCCCATATGAATCCCAAGTGGGGTTCCATCCCAAAACCAATTGGTGAAAGGAGGAGTAGCCCATTAAACTTATTAAGTGGGTCTATTTTCCATGTATTAACAATGTGGGACAACTCACAAGTGATATTCTAACACGCCCCCTCACTTGTGAGTCTGATATCATGTCTCTAACCCAGGCACAAAGTGAGCTCTGATATCATGTCTCTAACCCAGACACAAAGTTGGTCGGACTCTGATATCATGTCTCTAACCCAGACACAAAGTGGGCTCTGATACCATGTAAGAAACTGGGGGAAATGGAAAGCCCATATGAAGCCCAAGTTGGGTTCCATCCCAAAACCAATTGGTGAAAGGAGGAGAGGCCCACTAGACTTATAAGGTGAGCCTATTTTCCATGTATTAACAATGTGGGACAACTCACAAGTGGCATTCTAACACGCCCCCTCACTTGTGAGTCTGATATCATGTCTCTAACCCAGACACAAAGTGGGCTCTGATATCATGTCTCTAACCCAGACACAAAGTAGGCTGTGATATCATGTCTCTAACCCAGACACAAAGTCGGTTGGGCTCTGATATCATGTCTCTAACCCAGACACAAAGTCGGCTCTGATATCATGTCTCTAACCCAGACACAAAGTCGGTCGGGCTCTGATATCATGTCTCTAACCCAGACACAAAGTGGTCGGGCTTTGATATCATGTAAGAAACTGGGGGAAATGGAAAGCCCATATGAAGCCCAAGTGGGGTTCCATCTCAAAACCAATTAGTGAAAGAAGGAGTAGCCCATTAAACTTATTAAGTGAGTCTATTTTCTATGTATTAACAATGTGGGACAACTCACAAGTGATATTCTAACACGCCCCCTCACTTGTGAGTCTGATATCATGTCTCTAACCCAGACACAAAGTGGGCTCTGATATCATGTCTCTAACCCAGACACAAAGTTGGTCGGGCTCTTATACCATGTCTCTAACCCAGGCACAAAGTGGGCTCTGATATCATGTCTCTAACCCAGACACAAAGTCGGTCGGGCTCTGATATCATGTCTCTAACCCAGACACAAAGTGGGCTTTGATACCATGTAAGAAACTGGGGGGACATGGAAAGCCCATATGAAGCCCAAATGGGGTTAACGCTACATTGCTAATCTAGTGTACAATTAGGTTAACAATAACAACACAAGTGGAAACATCCTATTGTACAATTTTTTTTATATTTTTTTAAATATTTTTACTTGTGTCGCCAATCTAGAGCAATTTACCAAAAA